ATATAACACCAGTGATTACCACTACCATAGGATATAACACCAGTGATTACCAACCTACCATAGGATATAACACCAGTGATTACCAACCTACCATAGGATATAACACCAGTGATTACCAACCTACCATAGGATATAACACCAGTGATTACCACCTACCACTCGATATAACACCAGTGATTACCAACCTACCATAGGATATAACACCAGTGATTACCAACCTACCATATGATATAACACCTATGATTATCAACCTACCATAGGATAAAACACCAGTGATTATCAACCTACCACTGGATATAACACCAGTGATTACCAACCTACCATAGGATATAACACCAGTGATTACCAACCTACCATATGATATAACACCTGTGATTATCAACCTACCACTGGATATAACACCAGTGATTACCACCTACCAAGGGAGATAACACCAGTGATTACCAACCTACCATAGGATATAACACCAGTGATTACCACCTACCATAGGATATAACCCCAGTGATTACCACCTACCATAGGATATAACACCAGTGATTACTAACCTACCATAGGATATAACACCAGTGATTACCACCTACCACTGGATATAACACCAGTGATTACCACCTACCACTGGATATAACACCAGTGATTACCATCTACCACTGGATATAACACCAGTGATTACCAACCTACCACTGGATATAACACCAGTGATTACCACCTACCATAGGATATAACACCAGTGATTACCAACCTACTATAGGATATAACACCAGTGATTACCAACCTACCAAGGGAGATAACACCAGTGACTACCAACCTACCATAGGATATAACACCAGTGATTACCACCTACCACTGGATATAACACCAGTGATTACCACCTACCAAGGGAGATAACACCAGTGATTACCAACCTACCATAGGATATAACACCAGTGATTACCACCTACCATAGGATATAACACCAGTGATTACCACCTACCATAGGATATAACACCAGTGTTTACTACCTACCAAGGCAGATAACACCTGTGATTACCAACCTGCCAAGGGTGGTAACACCAGTCATTACCAACCTACCACAGGAGTAAACACCTGTGATTACCACCTACCAAGGGAGTAAACACCAGTGATTATCAACCTATCACGGGAGATAACATCTGTGATTATCAACCTACCATTGGATGTAACACCAGTGATTATCAACATACCACAGGATATAACACCAGTGATTATCAACCTACCAAGGGAGGTAATGCCTGTGATTATCAACCTACCAAGGGAGATAACACCTGTGATTATCAACCTGCCATGGGAGATAACACCAGTGATTAACAACCTACCAAGGGAGATAACACCAGTGATTACCAGCCTACCAAAGGATATAACACTGGTGATTATCAAGCTATTAAGACAGATAACACACATAATTACCAAAATACAGAGGCAGATAACACCAGTAATTACCAACCTACCAAGGGAGATAACACAAATGGTTACCAACCTAAGATGGGCGATAACAAGGGAAACCTACATATAAAATTTGAGAAAGATCCATCCGGTACTTCACAAGAAATAATAACAAAAAATGTTTATGGATTGGATGGACAATGGACCACAGACGTAGGGTGATGATGATGGTGGACAAATTAGCTAAACAATCGAAGCATATAGGATTTCATTTCGTTAAGTGACAATTTGGGACAGAAATACTTTACAGAAATTTTGGTCAGATTAAAAACTTTAAAATCAGCTTGGTATGTATAATTACTCAAATGCTTCAGCTTCAGTGGCTTGTCTTGAATTACTATAAATTACGAAAGAAATGATAACAAACATTTTCTTTATCCTAAGATAATATTGTTTTATTATCACATGACAAAATAATTTTCTTCAGCCTCAGATTTGTCTCAATGATGAGTAAGATTGGATGCCTAAAGAAGGTAAACCAACAGATCCTATTGAATTCATAGAGCTGGTGAATGACAGGTGTAGCATGACAGAATCCACAGACATGTGTTTCACTGAATTGTACATGTCTAGTCCTACAAAGTTCTGTCCTTTTTTAACACAAGTTTTTATAAACACACTGACCCTATTTCTCCACCAAAATTTTTTATCTGAACAAGCCTACAGTAAAAAAGAAAAAAAAGATTACATCATATTTACAGAAAGATACTTTTGCAATGTTGAAAATGTATCATTCAGCTACCCAGACACTTCTTAACACCTTGGCACAACACATGTAAACAATCAGTCGTAGAATACACATCCGTTTCACCCTACTCATCTACATTGTCCAATGCTTCCAGGCCCTGTAACAAAAAGAGGTATCATAATAACACTTAACATTCCATCTGCCAGGTCAAAATATTTGGAATTCATAACTTCGATCCGTAATTAACATGTCAATATTTTGTTTCATGAAAAATTCTTTCATTGGTAAAAAATAGTAATAGATTCAATTAAATAATAAAGATGGCCTTAATATCAGATAATGCTCAAAATGTGGTATATTTTTCAGACTTTAACTCCACATGTCCCCTAAGTTTCAAGAAGATATAAATAATACAATTTTCAAATGTCAAAATCTCGATGGCCACTGGTTTTTATCTAACCTTACTTAATGCTTAAATTGTGACATGTGCAACCAGGACCCATAATCATTGTTCTTGAAACTACAAATATTATAAAATCTTTAACAGGAATTTTATTTCAGTTGATTTCCAGAAATTAATACATATGACAAGTTTTAAATATCAGTGGATTTTACAAGTTCTAAGCATAAACAAAATTAAGTGTCCACATTATCATTAGTTGGTTTTTAACAACTTTCAAATTTGAGCCTCTGATTGTATAGATTTCACAATGAATTGCTTCTAAAGTTCTACAGAAATGGTGATAATTTATCTTCAAATGTCATATGAAATATAGCTGTTGGTACCCATCTTGAATGTCAGATAATGCTTCAAGATACATATATATTGTGTCATGAAGCATACACAACAAGGACCCATATTGAAATTGTATACAAGAACAAATATAATAGTAACAAGATTTCTTAAATCAAACTCCAAAGACCAATCTGGCATTGGCCATCGACAGATTTCATAACTGCAACTAATCTGGTCTTTAAAGTCATAAAACAAACCCTTCAACAGCTTCAATAATGAAGAGTTTTTAAGAAACCGCATGTACCAGAATCTGACTGCAAACAGACAACCTGCAGAAATAAACAGATTTAAAAGGACACAATCTAATGATGCTGAGTTAAAAGTGCATTGTAAAATAGTTGATATTCCATAATTACCTGTGGTTTGTAGAGAGAGCCAAATTTATACATGTCACGCACATACATCATGTAGTCTTGTTTATCTCCATGAAAGTACCTTGGAGTATACTGCAAAGAGAAAGATAATTTAACAAATAGAAAGATGTCACATAAAACATACCTGATGGTGTCATATATGGTAGTATGTGGTGGTCATATGCAGTGGTTGTATGTAGTAGTTATATATAAGTCATATGAAGTGGTCATATGTAGTGGTTGTATGTGGTGGTATATGTAGTAGTTGTATGTGGTGGTCATTTCACTTAAACCTGATCAGAAGTTACAAAGTAGGTTTTAAAAAAACTCTTATGAGAATTCAATCATTAATTGTGACTGATAGCGATAAATACATCTGTCACAGAAACAATGTCCCAATCGAAAACTTACCTCTAAACCTGTCTCATACCCTGAAGTATACAGTATCAATTTGCTATTCATGTTGACATCTATGACACTACATTTGTACATGTCACAAAACTTATGTTAAAAGAAAACTTTCTGTCAATTTGTTTTTAATTCTGCCACCAAAAAACATATTACATGATATCTGGATGGTGATTAAAGATCACAAAGGGAGACAACTGGTAGGAGCGGATATAACTGGAAATGTCAAAGTTTTCATTTCTTAAGACAGGATGGGTCTGCTCTTTGTTTCCTTTTGTGAGGAGCATAATTTCTATATATTTGGATATATTTAGAGATTATATGATACTTGCAGAAACGTCAGAATTGGATATGTTTTTGCTGACATTCATCAACTTCAGACATATATAAAGACGACAATAGAATATCAGAATAATTCAGACTATCACCAGTGTTGTAAGTTATATTGAAAGATATAGTGTTAAATTCAACTTAATTCTATTTAATTAGATATGGTTCTGTTTAACGGTAAAAAGACTAATCTAGGTTCAAATACGGAGTGTATAGACAGAAGATGTTAGTACCTGTTATTAAACTATTATGTTATATGTTTCTTTTTATTTGATCTTGGCTAGTGTAGTTAACGAAAACGTCGCAATTTCTAGTTCGAACTCCATGTATAACAGGAGGCTTTTCAACAGACTAAATCTTCATATTATACAGTATATTATAGTGTGTACCATTGACGTTGTGCTATATTATAGCACATTGAAAATCAACAACATGATAATAATCACCTGTCTATTTTTAAAATTGAAGACCCATGCTACAATTGGAGGCACAACACCTGCTCCTGTCATCAGTCCAAGTAAAACCACACCACTTGGTAGCGAATTATACCACATTTTTCTGCCCTTTTCCTCACAAGTCCCGACCTTGGAGTCGTCTCAACCAGGAGCTTGATCTTTTCGTCACGAAGTAATGCGAAGAACAAGCGTCTGGTGACGGAGATTACAGCAGATGATGTGATCTTTCATTTATGTGGAATGACCACCAGCATATAGTTTGTTTAATATTAGGAAGCACGGGTGACATTTGAAAATTCAATTGTAATTTTATTCGCTTTCTAATGATACATGATAAAAGCAAAACCTACTAGTGACTATATTAGTCACTACATTTTCATTAAATATCAACCCTTTCTTTAACCAGTTGAATCGATATGACACGCTAAACAAAAACGGCCAGTCTTCATCTTGATCAATTGAATGATTTAAGCATTCATATGATTAAGATTTAAAAAGGAAAACAAACCGAACGCGAGGTGTTCGGTATACGTGTTTCGCTTACCCTAACCACTGTCGTGTAAATAAGCATGATAGCCTCAAACTGTCTACAATGACGCACGATAAAAATGAGAAACAGAAGTCGTCGACTAAGCGGAGAGACAGGGAAAACCCGCCGTCGAAGGTAACCTACCTGATTAACACGGGCGCTGTTTTTGTGATTTCAATGTCAGCCGAGTTCGTAACTGATGAAGTCGATGTAAGGTAGACCATGCATAGTGTTTATACCCACTCAAATATGACAAGGACATAATCTGATTATATTTAAAAAAAACTATTTTCAGAGATATAGTGATTAAGATTTACAAGAGTATAAGTCGTTGCGACGACATACTCAAAACTACTGAAAACTTCTCCAAAACTCGAAAGATATACCTAAATATAACAGATAACGCGAGAATTTGCATCATTTGTGCTGAGTGTATGTAACTCTCATCAAGTTTGGCTCTAAAACTTTTGAAGGTGATGGTAAAAACTAACGCATACGGTATATGTATATCTTGCGGTTTTGTGAAAGTCTGAATTGAAATGTGTGCACTATGTGAAAATCTGGCAAAAATATATGATACAAAAATATATATTAGTTTAATCAATACGTGTTTATCTATATTATGTTTTATATTTCAATTCCAATAATACAGTACTGATACATGCCTTTTTGTGCCGTTAAGTCAACGAATCCTTACAAATTGTCAACATATCATGTATTTATCGGTCATTTTTGAGTAGTTTGGGATAGTTTTGAGTAGTTTGGGATAGTTTTGAGTAGTTGGGGATAGTTTTGGGTATTTTGTCAAACCAGTTAAGTATTAATGATTAATCAGGAAAAACACTCTGCAATGTAATAAAAAGGATAAAGAAATGCAACTTATTCAATCGTATAATTATTTTTGTTGAATATACATAGCCGTATAAAAAGTAAGAGGAAAATTTGGGCACTTTACCTAATCACCAATACATGATAACAATCCGTGGCTGTTCCAATGCATACATTGTTTTCCATTGAAACTAGCGTCAACTTCTGACTAACCATTATGCATACATTTGCAATCAATAATTGTTTTTACAAATATACCACAACCATCTTGATTCTTGCAATGCTTATGGGAGGTAGCACTTAACAGCTGGTCGCTGCTCACTTCAGAGTTCACAAATCAACTTATAAGTCAATTAGTTTGGCACGAGAAGAGTTGATTACAAACGAAGATCGGGGCGTTCACATGTAATGCTGCGATGTCAAGGTCAGTTCATTAGACTTGCCCACTTGCATGACAGGAGATTAATGACAGATGAGACAGCACAAAATGCCATTAGTACGGGAAACTGCCAATCCACCCAAAATATGTGAGAAATAGACTGCGAATGGCAAATTTATGCCAATGTTGCCAGTATGTTGATTTGCCACTGACCCCTAAACATTGAGCATGTTGTTGATGGCACTTGTGCCCAGATGTTTCCCTATGAGACGTTGGAGGTCCATGCGCTTCCCAGATGAATCATGATTCAGGTTATTTCGATCAGATGGCTGTCAACAGGTGTACCAGTGTCAAGGAGAGCATCTTGCAGATTCTTGCATTTTGGAGCAAGACAAATTTAGGAATGGATTTTGTTATGGTTTGAGGAGGAACTTCCCAGTTTAAAGGCACTTTTAGTGATAAGTAATGGGAATGTAATGGCTCTACACTATCGAGATTAGATCCTGAGACCTGATGTTGTGCCTTTCATTATAAGGCACCAATTGACTTTTCAGTATGATAAGGCTAGGCCACACATTGCAAGAGTTTGTGGGAACTTTCTTGCAACCCAGAACATCATCTCTATTGGCTGGCCTCCATATAGCCCCAATTTGTCCCCAATCAAACATTTATGAGTTCTGAATCGAGCAAACATCCCAAATAACCCCTGCCAATTGGCAAACACCCTTACTGAGGGATGAAATAACATTCTTTATAGACAGTCAATGTCCTTATGAACGCCATGCAGAATTAGAGACACTATAGCTGTCCTTGGAGGACACACATGATATTAGGGATCAGTCTTACAACTGCAATTTCAACTTTAGGATAACCTAATTCTTGGCAGCCTAGCGAAGTCCTCATTTGTTAAAAATCTCAGAAATCAAAAGACATGTCTGTACATCCAAATGATCAGGCTCTGTCTGACCAGGTTAAACAAAGGGAAACTGCTCACATCCGAATGATCAGACTCTGTCTGACCAAGTCAAACAAAGGGAAACTGCTCACATCCGAATGATCAGACTCTGTCTGACCAAGTCAAGCAAAGGGAAACTGCTCATGATGAAAGCTTTGATACACGTAGCCACTTGACTCAAACACAATACAATACATCGCACTACACAAACAGGCACTTAGCCAAACTTAATCAACATATAGTTCATGTGAAATCCAACCCAAGTAGGGGTTGCTTATTTCTCTCACTTTGTATATGATCAGAGTTTTGAACTTCATGAACTCCAGACTGATATAAAAAAAAAAGCTGGTAGAACGTCAGAATAATTTGGACTACACTACTATCAGGTTCATAACAAGCTCCTTAGATAGTGAGAGTGCAGGATATGTGTGAAGGCACCAAAAAAGTAACATTAGGCAGGTCAAAGTCTGGTCTGATGGAGGACCTTTTGATTGTAAGAATGATTTCTCCTTTTATAAAACCACTCTGGAATAAGGTACGCTGGTATATATCCTTAGCAAAATGTAATAAAAACGCTGAGAAGTAGGGAGCAATGCACCTCACTAACAACAGACTTACATACCACAAATAACAGACTTACATACCACAAATAACAGAAGTTTAAAGTATTCAAGTAAATAATAGAGATAAAGAGGATAGGTACAATGTTTATACAGCAACAAAACAGTCACTTAACAAAACATACATTTATGAAGTTTTTCCAAAATAATATATACCAGTCTGTTGAACATCCAAACATTTTTTACTATTGATCAGTAGATGATATAACAGGTGGGTAACTTCTATTGGTGTGTTCAAAAAAGAAAGTTGTTAAGAAAAAGAGGAATTCACAACAAACCAGGGTACATCGAGATGTAATGTTGTAACATTGTAATTAGAAACAAAGATATATGTCAGTTTCTTTTTAATACTAAAAGAAGGTTAGATAGTGACAACAACATTACCATGTCTAGACAAGAACCTATAGGAACAGGGACCCACATCACTGAGGGAATATCTCAATAACTTTCAGCACCACAATTAGGGAACGTTGAGACAAGCAATATCTTTGATTAATTATCAATATATTATAAACATACATAAATTGATGGTGATTTTATATTAGCACTATTCTTTTGCTAAAATATGATTATTGCAATCTCTGTATTTAGGGTAGGTATGGTTACAGGAAACACGCAATGTTTTTCCTTATTGGTGTAAGTGAAAATTGTCATACAATATTTCTACTTGAAATCTTATCAGAATTTTATTTTCTTTTTTCAATGATTCTGACTTATTGTTTGCAGGTTGTCATTCGCCGTTTGCCGCCAAGTCTAACTCCAGAGTCTCTTCTCGAACAAATATCTCCTCTAACAGAACATGACTTTTATTTTGTCAAGGCTGATATGAGGTATGCCAATGATTTCCCTATATGGAATTTATTAGCAAATATTTGAAACCTGAAGATTTCTAGCTCTTAAAGCACAAATTGATTAAGTCACTGCACTTATTTAAACGAACCAGTTACTATCTCAGAGATTGTATTAGTCAAATGTAAAACATTGTAAATGTTAAAGAAATGCTGAGTTTTGTAATATTAGATAGAATTGAAATAAGTTTGCGTTAGAATGAAAGGAAATACATGGTAGATGTAAAGTGTACCTTTACTCCAACAGGATATACTGCTCTCAGCCACAACATTTGATTTTGGTTGATGAATTCAAAGAAGGATATCACAATGTTAGCTTTAGTCTTGATGACCTTTTCTCAATGCTGATGTAACATGATGTCACTTGTACAATGATAAATTTTTATACCTTAGCTATGAAATATGGGGAAGGACCATGCTATTCTTGTCAGTCAGTTCTTATGTTCTAAAACAGATTTCTGGGGTTTTTAAGGAGAGAATATAATTGCCACTTTCCCCATCCGTCCGTGGTAATTTTGTCCTGAGTATATCACAAAAACTATCAGAGGTATAAACATGAAACTTCATGGGTAGATAGATCATGATAAGGAGAAGTGCGGTGCACAAGAACCATAACACACTTTTGCATAATTTTGGAGTTATTGCCCTTTGTTATTTGTCATACTTAAATTTTGTCAAAATTAACCCTTTTGGAACTAGCATTTATTCTGGGAGCATTCATCGGTTCTACCTATTCTCTTGTTATGTTAGAAGATAATAACATTTGATTTGGTGTGTGGCTTCAAAACATACAGTAACAAATCAAGTTTGAATACAAAAAAACTCAACATTTGCTCTCTGCACTGAAAATATAGTGGAAATTCTTTAGTTTTGCAATACTATTTACTGTTGGGCCATCAGATCATATTCTTCTGTTTATAACTGATCTTTGTTTGTCATTTATGCTTGTGTAAAATTCCTGTTTGCATTCCTGACATATACATATCAATATGCGAGGGGATGCAGAGCATTTAGGATGTGCCAGCATTTCTAGTTTTCTAAATATTAAAAGTGAAATTTAATAAGGAATGAATTGTCTTTTGATGTTTTTCGTGCACAGCCTTGGAGTCAATGCTTTCTCAAGAGCATACCTGAATTTCCACAGCCATGAAGATGTCTACAACTTTAGAGACCGTTTTGACAACTACATTTTCTTGGATAACAAAGGTAATTTTTTTATGTGTGAGGTTATCATTTAGTTACTATAAGATATTTAATTTTCATGGGAAATTTATTTTTGTTAATTTTGTAGGTACCCTTAATCGATGAAATCTTACTATATCCATATATCCAGTGACTGTTGAAATAAATAGATCTATATATATTAATCTATGAAATTAAATGAGTATTTCTTTTTAAAACCATGAAAATTGGTTCTCACAAAAAATTATTATATTGCAGTATATTTAGTAATCAGCACTCTCCTTCTTGGATGTTTCTTTAGAAATCTTTAGAACTGACTCTCATTTATTTAATTCACATTCTATGAATCACCTGGATTATTTTCAAAACCCTGAAACATGCTAACACTAAAGGTATATTAGCTTGGTTTTTTTTAACCCTGAAGTGTGTATGTGCATTGATCTATTTTAAAACTCTAAAGTATGAAGTGTCCACGAATGGTTACAATGTGATCTCATCATACATCTTAGGGTTATATGATTAATTAAGGGATTTGTAGCTCTGTTGAGTTTGTATTTGTAAGATAGGAATTCACATGTGATCAGATGATACAAAAATGTCCCATTCTTTACCCAGGAAACGAGTACCCAGCTTTGGTGGAGTTTGCACCATTTCAGAAAGTTCCAAAGAGAAAATCAAAGAAAACTGACACAAAGAAAGGCACCATTGATCAAGGTATACAGTAAACTAAGGTTGACTGTTGAAACATCAAAAAGCATTTTACTGAAAATAATCATAGTTGATATACGTGTAATTACAAATAACCTACTAGTAAATTCATTGAAACTTGTGAGAGTTTTACAGAATATTTACTGGGAGGGTATCTTGTAACTATGTTAAAAGGCAGAAAAATACTTGATTACATATGTTTTCATTACCAGGAATATTTTGGATGACATTAATAAGATATCCAATTATATTTACCAAAAACCTCATCTTATACCTTAGAGTGAATCTTGTTATGTGAACAGCCAAATCATGGAGCATTAGGCAAGGGCATTGTGACATCACAATGCTGCAACTTGGTTGTCTGGTATTGTACTTAAGTGGCAGTTAATGAATGTAAATAAAGATTGATGCATGGCCAGTATGAAAAATGAAATTGTGACCCCTTGTCTTTACATCAACCCTAGGCATCATTACCTCTAGATCTTAAACCTGTGTTATCCTAGACCATAGTGGATTGGTATATTTATGTACTGTTTTTAAATCACATGTAAAGAATTTTTTTTAAGTTCAGTACCTGGTAAATGTGTCATCAGTGTTACATAAATATGGTCACAAATTCTTTCTTGCATGATTCATTCATTCATTTATCTATTATGCCAGTCAGTCATTTTAGATAATATATAAGTAGTAACTTGCATTTTCTGGGACACGTTTTAATGTCCTTTGTTTTTAGTTAAATGTTCAGTTACATGCCCCTACCAGATAGTAGAAAGACAAGGTCTGAAATATGGAAAAAAAATTTTGCAGAAACTGTTCATTACCCAGTTTTAAACTTCACATTTGTATTAATCTTTGGCAGCATTTCACAGCTGTGTTATTTATAAGTCACTGTGACCTATATTTTTGAGTTTGATAGACTTCACATTCACATAGGTCTCAGCATTAGGGTTTCTTATTCATTGTCCTGAATTTTGACTTCCTTTCAGAACACTGTGCTGATGTGATATGTTGCTAACAGATCTCAGATGTTATAGTTTGATATTTTGTCAGTATTATTTATAGTTCATTAGTGTTTCACAAACATTTTCTATCATTTTTTTTCTTTTGTAGATTCTGACTATCTCAAGTTTGTGGAAAGTTTAGAGAAGCCAGATGAGGAAGATGTAGTTTCCATTGAAAGTTATCTAGAGACACTTGAAAATCGAGAAAAAGTGCTGAAAGGTAGAATTGAAACCAAAAAATCCAAAATCTTCTTGAAGTTAACAAGAAATTTATTTCAAAATTTTCCATTATTTGAGGGTGTGACAAAGCATATCGTAATTTTCATATGTCAGAAATTTCACAATTTTCTTTTAAAATTGAAATTTTTGCTTTTAACTGATTAAAATTCCACAGGTGTAAAATTTCTAGATGTAAAAGGACATCTAACGCACATGTAATTTCATAGGTTATATTTGAATCATCATGTCCATGTATCACAAAACAGCAACATTATCATCCCCATGAAATTGACCATCCAAAGGGTAAATACAGCTAATGCTGATTGTGCATTTTCTGCTCATCTGTGATTCCTGTCCACTGCACTTATAAACATGCTTATGATATAACATGGTCCATGATGGACCACTGAACAAGGTGAACAGGCCACTGCAAAATGTGGACAGACCACAGCATAACATGGACAGACCACTGCATATTGTTGTCACCCATGTCGCATAACAATCTGTGACTGACCACTGAACACTTGAAAAATGACAGACGAGTGACAGAGATTGATTGAAATAGGAAGAGTATTTACTTAATCACTTATCTACTGATCACCTTTCTATAATCTTAGTACGAGTTATGAATATTTCCACTGGCCTAACACGGACATTTCAAATACACTTTAGAGATTTTTTATTCGAACGGTATATACACTGTAGATGTATGACCGTTTGACACTGATAAATAAAATATTTGCACATGAACCAACTTCAGTGTGGAATATATTGGTCATGAAAACTGACCAATTTATGTAATTAACCAATTTCCAAATCTTATGAAACCTTCATAACAAACACTTTATCATTTTATCTTCTTTCATTTTTGAATACATTCCAAATCAAAACAAAAATTTATGGAGGATGACATCATAAAGATGATCGAGTTTATGGTTGATGACATCATAAAGATGATCAAGTTTATGGAGGATGACATCATAAAGATGATCGAGTTTATGGTTGATGACATCAGATTATTGGTATACCTATGAGAATTGACTGAGCCACACTGTTAACTGACATGGTTTTGTTTTTATACGAGGCTGAATTTATTGAAGAGCTTATTAAAACCTGTAATAAAGACCTTGCAAAGTCGTTTAATTTCACAGATATATTGATGACATCTTGTCTTTACATAACACGACGTTTGTTGATAACGTCTAACATATATACTCATAAAAATTGGAAATCAAAGACACGACAGATTCTTTTACATCAGCGACTTATCTCGATCTTTTCCTGCAACTACATGGACAGCTTTCCAACAATAAACCTGATGATTTCAATTTCCCTGTTGTGAATTTCCCTTTTCTGAACAGCAACATTCCTGCATCTCCAACATATGGTGTTTACATATCACAGTTGATTGGATATTCAAAGGCCTGTTCCCATTATCACAATTTCCGTGCAATAAGTCATCAACTCATAACACAGGGTTTCAAAAGATGCAGGTTGATGAAAATTATGGGATAGTTTTACAGTCATGATAGTGATCAGATTGGTGAAAACTATGGGGAAGATTTATGGTCGCCATTGTGATTTCATTGAGAAATATTTTATTTCTTCGCACGATATTAAGCTGGATATGTTTGAAGCTTGTCCGTTTACCTGTTGATTTTTTTGTTGTATACCTTGTTCTCATTGGAGAATGTGACATCACTTACTTGGATCAATATCATGGGTGTCATCGATGAAGCAGAAAAAATTTACTCTTTCAGATCATATTGCCTTATACTTCTTGTACTTTTACAGGAGTCTCGATGTAAATCTGTCTTTTGTTAATATTTTGCCCATGTTTTATTGAGTTTAAGTTTGGATTATGATTATGTTGACATGTGAGTAATTTCTGACTTCTGTTTGTAAATTTTTGTACGAATTTTCATATCTGGGTTGATAGTTGTTGATACTTTAGGACCTTAGGTTTTCCAATACATTAGATTTATTTCTTACTCCAGCATGTTTATTCGAAATCACATGAGAATGCTGGGCTATAAGTTGGCATTTAATTTACAGTTCTATAAAACAAAGATTTTAACTTATTTATCAGGAAAAGAAATAAGTTTTCTTTTTGTAAATTTCACCACAGTTTTCCTTATATTGTTTTAAAGATTATGCATGAACCTTTGATATTTTCCTAAATATTCTGAATTTTGCAGCAAATCACGGGAATCCACACCTGTCAACACCTTTAATAGAATACTTGAAGAAACGCAGGGAGGAAAAGAAAGCTGTTATACTGGTAGGTATAACAGAATTTCTTGCTATCTTTTATATGAGATCTTAACTTAGAAAAGGAGTTCTCAAGCTGTAAAACGTGTGAACATTTCTGTCCAAGTCTCTCTAGAGTAATAGTTCTAGTTATAATGTACATCGTAACAAATTGATAAGTATTCACCAAGGGATGCAATATCAAAGTCTAGTCATATCATGTAATGTCATAAATTTGTGGTTTTCAGAAAATAAGAGAAGAGAGGAAGAAACGGGAGCAAGAACGAAGAAAGGTGAGGGAGGAAGAAAAGAAACGGAGAAAAGATAAAGATCGAGAACGGGAAAGACAGAGGGATAAAGACCCAGTTAAGGACAAAGAAAGGCCTGATAAAGATAAAAGTAAAGACCAGACCATCAAGGTTGTAAGTGTAATATTCTGATTGTTAATCAGACAGTATATTGTATGTTAAATTTTAAATCATGGTTGTGTGATGTTTTTATCATTGAAAACACCTGGATATTGTATGAGTAGAACTTACTAACAAAAGAATGAAAAGTGCAGAGGGGAGAGACATTATATAGCTATGGGATATTTCAAGTCTTATTTTTTAATAAAATTCAGAGGTCAAGGTCACTGTTACTATAAAAAGAAAAAGCAGTTTCTGTGGTAAACTAGAGTTTGCTTTGGCAAATCAAACCCAAACTTCATACAGTACTTTCTTACTAAAAGTGTTTGCTTAGGATCGCTTTGCAGTTTTGAAGGTCAAAGGTCAAGGTCTCTGTTACTATAAATAGAAAAATCAGTTTCCCTGCAAGTTTGCTTTCGCCAATCAAACTCAAACCTCATACAATGCTTCCTTACTTAAATGGCAGGCTTTAGATTGCTTTTTAATTTTCTTCTTTAGAAAATTGTTATAAATCAAACATTTTCCCAGCCACAATCCTATAAGGATTCTTTTTTCTTTCTTGTTTGTCAAGTGTGACCTGTTACCTCATAACCTGGACCTATGATCACCAAAGTCTACTACCATGCAAGTTTTAGTTGATTAACTGTAAAGAAAAGCAACCATGATTATGCCAGCAAGAATTTGGGATTCAGATAAACCTCAAGGTGACCTTCTGGTTGTTTTCAAAAGCTTTTCATTTAGATTTTTGCTCTGATCTGAGAAAAGATTGAAATTTACAAGCATAACATTGTATTTTTTGTTCAGCTTCTAAAAAACCCCGAGAGAGACAAGGAGACTGATAAAGAGAAAACACATGATGTTAAGTCAAAGGAAGTAGGTCGACCCAGAGAGGAAAAGGTATCGGATTCTAAAACCAAGGATAGAGAGAAACTCAGATTCTCTAAAGAAAACCGGGAACGACAGAGAGACCAAAAAAATGAGAAAGCAGTTTCAGATCGTCCTCGATCAGCACGAGATAATCGTCAAGGCGATAAAGGGAAGTCAGGAAAGGACGACTATAGGTCAGACAGAAAGGAGGAGGATAGAAATAGGGGAGGTAACTCTAGAGGCGATCGGCCAAAATCTGGAAAGGATGAGTCTCGACAGCAAGACCGTTACAAGTCTGGAAGAGACTATGACCATGATGGAGATTGGGATTATGACAGGGGTAGAGACCGTGATTATGATCGGAATAAGGATCGGGACTATGATAGAAATAGAGACCGAGATTATGACCGGAATCGCGAACGGGGATATGGCAAGAGAGATGTGGACTCTGATAGAAGGTAATTATCATTTAATGTTCTACTTTTTGTATTTCAGTATGTTGTATTTTTCATCCTTTTTCACTGTTTAGTTGTTGCTTAAAGCATGTTTTTACTTTGACAACATTTATTAGGTGATAACTACATTGGGTTTTTGGATCTGTCCTGTGGATCATGTCAGGATCAACACAGGAATGCATGTGCTCATTATGTTTCTATCTAAGACATGAAGCATTGTTGTTGGAGGAATGGCAGTAGTTTTAAGATGACAAATCTTTTGCATTTATCTCAGTATAATTCATGAACATAAGTTTTCTTAAATCTAGAGTGGGTTTCTGTTAACTTTTTGTGTGTGGTGATATGCTCACTATAAAAAGGTACAAAGTTTTTTGCCTTGAAATTGTGTAATACAAGCATTGCAAAAAAAGCCTTGATGAAATTGTGTCATTCTAGGGACAACTCAGGCCGTGCCAGGAAGGAGCAAACAGGCCACAAGTACGACAAGCCGAAAGGAAAGGTATGCTACATTTTTACACAGCACCAAAGGACAAAGCTACTCTATACATGAAAACATGAGGGAAGGGATTTTTCTTCCCTTGCTGAAGGTTATGTCACATTTGCCCTCAAATACATTAAACATAAGATTTAACATCTGATAGCCCATCTTTTATTCCCTAACACAAGCCCCCAACCTCCTACCCACTGACTAAAGTCTCAAACTCCCTACCCCCTAACACTAGCGCCAACCTCCTACCCACTAACTCAAGTCTCAAACCCCCTACCCCCTAACACAAGCCTCCCCCCAACCTCCTACCAACTAACTCAAGTCTCAAACCCCCAACCCCCTAACACTAGCCCTCCAACCTCCTACCCACTAACTCAAGTCCCAAACCCCCAACCCCCTAACACTAGCCCTCCAACCTCCTACCAACTAACTCAAGTCCCAAACCCCCAACCCCCTAACACTAGCCCTCCAACCTCCTACCGACTAACTCAAGTCTCAAACCCCCTACCCCCTAACACTAGCCCCCCAACCTCCTACCCACTAACTCAAGTCTCAAACCCCCTACCCCCTAACACTAGCCCCCCAGCCTCTTGCCCACTAACTCAAGTCCCAAACCCCCAACCCCCTAACACAAGCCTCCCCCCAACCTCCTACCAACTAACTCAAGTCTCAAACTCCCTACCCCCTAACACTAGCCCTCCAACCTCCTACCGACTAACTCAAGTCTCAAACCCCCTACCCCCTAACACAAGCCTCCCCCCAACCTCCTACCAACTAACTCAAGTCTCAAACTCCCTACCCCCTAACACTAGCCCCCCAGCCTCTTGCCCACTAACTCAAGTCCCAAACCCCCAACCCCCTAACACAAGCCTCCCCCCAACCTCCTACCCACTAACTCAAGTCCCAAACCCCCTACCCCCTAACACTAGCCCCCCAACCTCCTACCCACTAACTCAAGTCTCAAACCCCCTACCCCCTAACACTAGCCCCCCCAGCCTCTTGCCCACTAACTCAAGTCCCAAACCCCCAACCCCCTAACAAGCCTCCCCCCAACCTCCTACCCACTAACTCAAGTCCCAAACCCCCTACCCCCTAACACTAGCCCCCCAACCTCCTACCCACTAACTCAAGTCTCAAACCCCCTATCCCCAACACAAGCCCCCAACCTCCTACCCAATAACTCAAGTCCCAAACCCCCTACCCCCTAACACTAGCCCCCCAACCTCCTACCCACTAACTCAAGTCTCAAACCCCCTACCCCCTAACACTAGCCCCCCAGCCTCTTGCCCACTAACTCAAGTCCCAAACCCCCAACCCCCTAACACAAGCCTCCCCCCAACCTCCTACCCACTAACTCAAGTCCCAAACCCCCTACCCCCTAACACTAGCCCCCCAACCTCCTACCAACTAACTCAAGTCTCAAACCCCCTACCCCTACCCCTCTTGGGCTGCTGGTTTATATGCCACTTTCAGTATTGCAATCAATTCAACATAATAATTCATTGATATTTTTTTTTCATCAGACAACAGTGGGTTCTGGGGTCAAAACTGGATGTGAACTTGTGAATTCAGATTTATTAAGAAGATATGTATATCTCTACTGGGTGTGTGAGACATTGCTGAATGTTGATGGCAAAGTTTTCATGTTGATACTTTCGTGGATGGCCATGGTATACAGAGCCCACTCAAACATAATAAAAAATAACCCAAAAAATGTCCAGACAACTAACTCTGACTTTTGGATTTGGATTTTAAGAAAACTTATGTGTTGTCAACATATTTTTTTAATTTAGGGTTGGAATATGATATCATAATCTGTTTGTTAATTGTCATTTGGTTAAACAGGTAGACAACAAACCGACAGGAGAGTCCAAATCTCAGACTGATGCAAAAAGTGGATATACCAGGACAGCAGATAATAAAACCACCAATGAAAAATCATGTGGAGACACACAGACAGAGAAGAAAGGTGAGGATGTTGCCTCACAGAAAGACAAGAAAGGTGAGGATGTTGCCTCACAGAGAGACAAAAGGTCAGACAGTTCTGGAAGTAAGAAGAAAGTTGACCAGTCAAAAGCAGGTGCATCTGCAAAGCAAACAAACTCCGAACCTGCTAGTCAATCAGATGGCTCAGGGAAGGAGGATGGTGACATGAAATTGATAAGTTCAGGGAAAGGGGATGGTGACAGGAAATTAGAGACTTCAGGGAAGGAGGATGGTGATAAGACTTTAGAGGATTCTGGGAAGGAAGATAACAGGAAGTCAATGTCTTCAGGAAAGGAAGATGGTAGAAAGCTGGAGAGGGCAGATTCTGGTGATGGAGACAAGGAGGATAAAAGGAGGAAAAGACGTGTAAGTAAAGAAAAGTACCTAATCATGTATAGACAGGAAGTTACACCATATTACATCAGCTTCTATATTGATATCAGTTGAATTGTTGATTAAATTTCAGTTATTAATTTTAGGTAATTTCATTTTTTTCAAGGTTTAATGTTTTCATGTAGATTTTAAGCCCACCATCATCAGATGGTGGGTTATTCAAATCGCCCTGCCTCCGTGGTCCGTGGTCCGTAAACAATTCTTGTTACCGCTATTTCTGGAAAAGTACTAGATGGATCTTTCTCAAATATCATATGCAGGTTCCCCTTAGTCCCTTGTTGTGCATTGTACCTTTTTTGGACTGATTCGAATTCAAGATGGCCGATGGACAGCCATCTTGGAGTTTGAAAGTAAAAGTTTGTTACCGCTATTTTCGGGAAAGTACTGGATGGATCTTTCTCAAATATCATATGCAGTTTCCCCTTGGTCCCTAGTTGTGCATTATACCTTTTTTGGATTGATTCGAATTCAAGATGGCCCACAGACGGTCATCTTGGATTTTGAAAGTAAAAGTTTGTTATCGCTATTTCTGGGAAAATACTTGATGGATCTTTGTCAAATTTCATATGCAGGTTTCCCTTGGTCCCTAGTTGTGCAGTGTACCTTTTTTGGACTGATTCAAATTCAAGATGGCCCACAGATGGCCATCTTGGATTTTGAAAGTAATACAGCACAAGCATATTTCCTCAATATTCTATCATATGATTCAAGACCATGTCCATTATCCACCTGTAACTGACTGCTATCTAGTAATACTTTGGGATCTTTTTCAAATGATATTTGCTTATAGGTGCTTAATAAAAATATCTTGTGCAATCATTGAGTACATTCAATGAAGACCAGTTCATGAACATTTACAACACCTGTTTTTCCTTTTCAACTTTATGTTTGAAGATTTTGCATTTTCTGGAAATTTTTCTCTCCATGTCATGATTTTGATGAAGCTGAAATGGCCACAGTAGTCTTTACTCATCATATTGTCCTGTTCTATATCACCCCATACTGAGATTCAGCTCTGTTGTTTCACTTATAACAGTCAAAGACCAGTGGTTTTAGGTTGGCTAGGTTTAATTTGGTCCTCTTCCTTGAACAGTTCTTTGATTTTAACTCTCTCCAGGAAAATGCTTGGAATTTAGTGTCATGCCTGGAAAATTCTTAAACTTGGCATTAACACCTTCAAAAAACCTTAGATTTTTGTTCTTGATGTGACAAAACATAAATTTCATTTCAGTAATAATTACCATAACTTTAGTATGCAAATACGGTACCTACACCCATCTTTGTATCCCAAAAACAAAAGATTAAAATAATCCCTCCCTCCCTACGATCCATGAGCCATCATGGCAGGAACTTAGAGTGATTTCCCTTCCTAGTACCTTTATGGCTGCTGTCGAGTGCGGTGTCTGAGTGCTTTATTTACTCCTTCTCTTCATACTGCTATCATTGTCTGAGTATATTGCAACTCCCTTAGTAGTTTGTAAACCCATCTCCCAACATTTTTTGAAATTATGTATATGTTTATTTCGACCTTTTTTTGCAGCAGTGTTTTCCTCCAACACTTGTTTTGCTGGCCAGTTTGTACAACCGTTTCTTTTTGCAGTCTTGCTGCGAATGTTATGCTTTGTACTCTCGTTCGTAGTTTTTTGTTTGTTAGAAAACTTTGTTGCCTTGTTTTTCCATTGTTACGATTTTTTATTGTTTCAACGATGGATAGTGCTGGGTTACGTTGGGGGTGAAGGCCCCTGTTCCTCCCACGGAGACTTTGGTACCTATTGAGGAGGAGATGGATTTTGAGGGCGCGGGGCATGTCAGAGGTTATTCATTTTTCTCATGGGTGCTTGGATATTGACCCATCCGAGTCATCCGATGACGACCCTACCGGGGTCCTACTCCAATCAAGAAGTTGGCACGAAAGTTTCTCCATTTCACGTGCAACAACAGCGTCTTCCAATTCCAGGCTATGCCCTTCGGGCTCATGACAGCTCCTTTGGTGTTCACCAAGTTGCTGCAGATGGTCGTGGGATTCCTTCACTCACGCGGGATAGACGTCCACATCTATTTTGACGACTCCCTGGTCCTGAAAGTCTTGTTCAGAGTCAGTCTCCTTCCTTAGAGAGAAGTCAGAGGTTTTCCCATCTCAGGACTTCGTCTTCCTGGGGAACAATTTCGACACAGTTCAGGACTTAGCCATGAAAAAAAACTCAAATTTATTTCTAAAATATACATCAAAACATTTCTCCAGAGTGTGGGCTAAATTTATTTTGTATGTTGCAACTATATCATGCAACCTGAAACCACAAAAAACTAGTCTCCCTTTTGGCAAAATTAATCTAAAAAAATTGTCTCGTAAATTGGACAAGAATACAAGAAAAGTCCTTGAATATAATATCAGAATATCCAGGATATGTGTTTGAATTTGATACCTCCAAATCTGTGCTAATTATGATGCAAGAAATTTGAGGAAAAATTGATATTCTTTTATAGATGTTGTCATTTAATGATGTAAATTCTCACACAGGAACGTCCAGAGAGGGCCATCTACGACCCCAGGAAAGCTTTTGAGAAACGACAACAGGGAATTAAGCCAGCAAGTGGAGGCAACTCATCGGAGAAGAGTTCTGATAAAAGTTCTGATGACAAAAGTCCAAAAGATCAAGTGAAAACTGTTACAAGTGATGATGGTTGAATATGATGAATTCCAAGGATCAGCTAAACTGATATCAGGGGAAAGACACTGATTGATGGGATTTAACTCTACTGTTCAATGAGATTAAATTTTGAAATTTGAACATTAAGAAGTGTGAACGTTCAGAACTGATTTTATCCTACTGAGCATTTGTACATGGCAGGATGATTAGGGAAAATGAATGTGTAATGTAGTGTTGTCCTTGTTTAACGCATTAAAGAGCTTTAAACCTTCCATCTGATTCCTCAATTTCATCTTTATTGAAGCTCTCATCTGTTTGTTTGCTGGGTTTATCACCATGTCACCAACCAATGTCATTTTAATGGGGAGCTGGTAGTTACCTAAGTGAACAACAAATGGGAGGCCCAAGCATACTATCCAGAACAATTAGAGTAAAATCTCTTGCCAAATGGCCATACAGAACAGTACAGGTTTGTTTCTCAGGTTTTGTAGCAACACATACTGCCTTGGGTAAGGAAAAGGAAACCACCAGAGGTTACATAGCTAACCAGCTGGGCTACGATCGAACCTTTTTGTGTTTGCTTTAATTTCAAAATATAAATGCATACAGTTTATACTTAAATCCTCACAGAGAGAATTTTAGTCCTAACAGATATTACCTATAGGGCCTCAATCAAGAAATTCTTGTCAAAGCAATATCAACTATATGACAACTGAAGGGCAGGTCAGTATATACTGTGGCTAGGCATTGACAGTCTCTTTGTTGTCAACTTATTCCTATTAACAACTTATTTCTCAATAGCCAAAAGACCCAGGGTACTGATATTTTGTCCTCTAACATGCCGGGATGAAGGGTTACTAAGTTTGATTAAATGATAGATCTTGATGTAATGTCAAGGGCACAGTGTTGAAATGTGTCAAAAATCTTAAAACAACTTCATTTCAATTACCAAAAGGTCCAGGGTACTGATATGAAGTATGTATCATGCTGAAATGGATGGCTACCAACTCTGTTCAAGTTATTGACCTTAACCCACTCTACAATGTACCAGCTTCACCAACAGTTATTGTGGCTGTATTACAATGTACCAGCTTCACCAACAGTTATTGTGGCTGTATTACAATGTACCAGCTTCACCAACAGTTATTGTGGCTGTATTACAATGTACCAGCTTCACCAACAGTTATTGTGGCTGTATTACAATGTACCAGCTTCACCAACAGTTATTGTGGCTGTATTACAATGTACCAGCTTCACCAACAGTTATTGTGGCTGTATTACAATGTACCAGCTTCACCAACAGTTATTGTGGCTGTATTACAATGTACCAGCTTCACCAACAGTTATTGTGGCTGTATTACAATGTACCAGCTTCACCAACAGTTATTGTGACTGTATCACAATGTACCAGCTTCACCAACAGTTATTGTGGCTGTATCACAATGTACCAGCTTCACCAACAGTTATTGTGGCTGTATCACAATGCAACCAGCTTCACCAACAGTTATTGTGACTGTATCACAATGTACCAGCTTCACCAACAGTTATTGTGGCTGTATTACAATGTACCAGCTTCACCAACAGTTATTGTGGCTGTATCACAATGTACCAGCTTCACCAACAGTTATTGTGGCTGTATTACAATGTACAAGCTTCACCAACAGTTATTGTGGCTGTATCACAATGTAACAGCTTCACCAACAGTTATTGTGGCTGTATTACAATGTACCAGCTTCACCAACAGTTATTGTGGCTGTATTACAATGTACCAGCTTCACCAACAGTTATTGTGGCTGTATTACAATGTAACAGCTTCACCAACAGTTATTGTGGCTGTATTACAATGTACCAGCTTCACCAACAGTTATTGTGGCTGTATTACAATGTACCAGCTTCACCAACAGTTATTGTGACTGTATCACAATGTACCAGCTTCACCAACAGTTATTGTGGCTGTATCACAATGTACCAGCTTCACCAACAGTTATTGTGGCTGTATTACAATGTACCAGCTTCACCAACAGTTATTGTGACTGTATTACAATGTACCAGCTTCACCAACAGTTATTGTGACTGTATTACAATGTAACAGCTTCACCAACAGTTATTGTGGCTGTATTATAATGTACCAGCTTCACCAACAGTTATTGTGGCTGTATTACAATGTACCAGCTTCACCAACAGTTATTGTGGCTGTATTACAATGTACCAGCTTTACCAACAGTTATTGTGGCTGACTTCTTCTTGGCTTCACTTCTGCCCCAGATAACTTTACCTTCAAAATGGTGATAAAACATGATTTTATAATCCTAGCCTATTTCAATATGAATGGTTTACATAATGGTCCAATTGAAGTGGGACCTGGTCGAACCTCAACCACTTCCTGAGGTACTCGTTAACAATTCACCCTGGTTTCCTTTACAAGATATGACTATATCTTGTAGAGTATCTATAGCTCTGTTAATTCACACTTAAAACTTCATTGTCGGTATTGTTGGTGTTTGACATTCCCCACAACATGTGCCCTCCTACTTTATCGATAATGATCTTGTCTCAAAGTGCTTCGTCAAACTACTTCCCTGGATATTTCATAGGAGTGCCAAAGACAGAATATGTTCACCCTAGACTTTCTGCTAGAACTCCATTCTTGCTCACTTTATCATGTCCAAAAAGACATTTTAATTATTCATTCGGTATCTGTGATCTGTTTGATGTTGACACAAATGTTTGGGTCTCTGGTTTTTTTTATCTGTTTTTAGGAAGAGGATGATATCCCATGGTTACTGACCAGTCAGGCTATTTTGATACAGTTGGTTGGGGTATACCCAACTTTGAACCTTCCAACGCTGACTTTGTAAACCTGAACAGGTTTGCATTAAACATTGCCCCCTTTTTGTATTTGCTGTGCCAGGATTTTATTGTCTCTACTTGCTGAAGAATATTCTTATAAAAAAAATGATCTCTCAGCACATAGCAGAACTCCTCAATGTCCACCTTTCCCCCTTCTCTCTTTCACTCTCTTCAAACTGCTCTGTCTTATGGTACAATCCATGGTTGACAACACAGCAAGCAAACTTTCTATGAAGATTACAAACCAATGTCATTTGTGGGATTTGGTCAATAGCATCTTCAAAAGACTTCTTTTTTGTCATCCCTTGTCAAGTCTAATATAGACATATGTTATAGCACATAGTCAGGTAACCTTTAGTCTTATATAGATACATGTTATAACACTTAGTCAGGTAACCTTAAGTCTTATATAGATATATGTTATAACACTTAGTCAGGTGACCTTAAGTCTTATATAGATATATGTTATAACACATAGTCAGGTAACCTTAAGTCTAACACAGATATATAACACTTAGTCAGGTAACCTTAAGTCTTATATAGATATATGTTATAACACATAGTCAGGTAACCTTAAGTCTTATATAGATATATGTTATAACACTTAGTCAGGTGACCTTAAGTCTTATATAGATATATGTTATAACACATAGTCAGGTAATAACCTTAAGTCTAATACAGATATATGTTATAACACTTAGTCAGGTAACCTTAAGTCTAATACAGATATATGTTATAACACTTAGTCAGGTGACCTTAAGTCTTATATAGATATATGTTATAACACATAGTCAGGTGACCTTAAGTCTAACACAGATATATAACACTTAGTCAGGTAACCTTAAGTCTAATATAGATATATGTTATAACACATAGTCAGGTAACCTTAAGTCTTATATAGATATATGTTATAACACATAGTCAGGTAACCTTAAGTCTAACACAGATATATAACACTTAGTCAGGTAACCTTAAGTCTAATACAGATATATGTTATAACACTTAGTCAGGTAACCTTAAGTCTTATATAGATATATGTTATAACACATAGTCAGGTAACCTTAAGTCTTATATAGATATATGTTATAACACTTAGTCAGGTAACCTTAAGTCTAATATAGATATATGTTATAACACTTAGTCAGGTAACCTTAAGTCTAACACAGATATATAACACTTAGTCAGGTAACCTTAAGTATAATATAGATATATGTTATAACACATAGTCAGGTAACCTTAAGTCTTATATAGATATATGTTATAACACATAGTCAGGTAACCTTAAGTCTTATATAGATATATGTTATAACACATAGTCAGGTAACCTTAAGTCTAATACAGATATATGTTATAACACTTAGTCAGGTAACCTTAAGTCTAATACAGATATATGTTATAACACTTAGTCAGGTAACCTTAAGTCTTATATAGATATATGTTATAACACTTAGTCAGGTAACCTTAAGTCTTATATAGATATATGTTATAACACTTAGTCAGGTGACCTTAAGTCTTATATAGATATATGTTATAACACATAGTCAGGTAACCTTAAGTCTAACACAGATATATAACACTTAGTCAGGTAACCTTAAGTCTTATATAGATATATGTTATAACACATAGTCAGGTAACCTTAAGTCTTATATAGATATATGTTATAACACTTAGTCAGGTGACCTTAAGTCTTATATAGATATATGTTATAACACATAGTCAGGTAACCTTAAGTCTAATACAGATATATGTTATAACACTTAGTCAGGTAACCTTAAGTCTAATACAGATATATGTTATAACACTTAGTCAGGTGACCTTAAGTCTTATATAGATATATGTTATAACACATAGTCAGGTAACCTTAAGTCTAACACAGATATATAACACTTAGTCAGGTAACCTTAAGTATAATATAGATATATGTTATAACACACCTTAAGTCTTATATAGATATATGTTATAACACTTAGTCAGGTGACCTTAAGTCTTATATAGATATATGTTATAACACATAGTCAGGTAACCTTAAGTCTAACACAGATATATAACACTTAGTCAGGTAACCTTAAGTCTTATATAGATATATGTTATAACACATAGTCAGGTAACCTTAAGTCTTATATAGATATATGTTATAACACATAGTCAGGTAACCTTAAGTCTTATATATATATATGTTATAACACTTAGTCAGGTAACCTTAAGTCTAATACAGATATATGTTATAACACTTAGTCAGGTAACCTTAAGTCTTATATAGATATATGTTATAACACATAGTCAGGTAACCTTAAGTCTTATATAGATATATGTTATAACACTTAGTCAGGTAACCTTAAGTCTAATATAGATATATGTTATAACACTTAGTCAGGTAACCTTAAGTCTAACACAGATATATAACACTTAGTCAGGTAACCTTAAGTATAATATAGATATATGTTATAACACATAGTCAGGTAACCTTAAGTCTTATATAGATATATGTTATAACACATAGTCAGGTAACCTAAAGTCTTATATAGATATATGTTATAACACATAGTCAGGTAACCTTAAGTCTTATATAGATATATGTTATAACACTTAGTCAGGTAACCTTAAGTCTAATACAGATATATGTTATAACACTTAGTCAGGTAACCTTAAGTCTAATACAGATATATGTTATAACACTTAGTCAGGTGACCTTAAGTCTTATATAGATATATGTTATAACACATAGTCAGGTAACCTTAAGTCTTATATAGATATATGTTATAACACATAGTCAGGTAACCTTAAGTCTAATACAGATATATGTTATAACACATAGGTAACATTAAGTCTCATATAGATATATGTTATAACCCAAATTTAATGGAAATCTCTTTCTCTAGATGTTGTACAGATTCTCAAATGAAGATTTTGATTAAGAATCTTTCTTAAATCTTATATAAAATTGGCAAACAGCTGCATGCAAAGTACATAGCAAAAAATATACTAAAATTAAAATGCCACTTACTTACAGTTATACTTTAAATTAAACATTTAAATTGGTTATTACCATACGATGAAATCCTTTTAATTACAATTACAGCACACAAGTAAAAATAGATTTAATATGTACCAGTATCTTCAAATTATCGAACTTTATAACAATATATATATTGTATATATATATGTCTTTATGTAACAAAAATCAAAATGTGATATTACCATAACAGCAAGAGCCTATTAACAGCAATTACCTATGCCAATATTATCTAACTTAGCAATGTAGGTAATCTAAGTAGATATAGTATACTACGGAAAATGTCCAAGGTTGATTTTTACATGTAATAATGAGTGTCATTGCCAACAAACATACAAAATAACACTTGCAATCTTCTGGTCTGGCCTTATAAAGGACAAGGATATAAAACGGAGCAAGAGGAAACCGTCGGGCGCTTCTGAAGTTGACAGAAAAAAAGAACAAGACGGAATAGGCTGACAGTAACAATAAACTTACTGTTATCTTCCTTCTCTAATACAAATATAAACTAATAAATGATAATTTATGGTTCACCAATGGCGTTTTTATCGTCAATGTTGTTAGCATTGGTAAGCTTTTCTATTACTGATTCAACATATGACACACATTTATTTTGGGTTTTTTTTTCAACGAATAATATTTATTAAGCTGACGCCACAAAGGGTGTTCGGAATATTGAAGGAAAATAAGGACCAACCTGCCATCGGTGGAAAAAAATTTACCCAGATTTCATCCCCACCCCCTGTCTGTACACCTCACGCTCGGTGCCTTTTCATGCGCCCGCCCACATGCACACGTGATGACAGTGTATTAACGAATAATTGTCAAATTGTAACACCACAGGAAACTAGCTCTCTGACAAAATAGTAGAATGCCTATTGTGACACATGTTTTGTTAAAACTACTGTTTTATTATGCGTCACGCTGAGAAAAACAAGCGTTCTGCAGACGTTGGGCAAAATGATTTAAACTCTTTTGTGCAGGAGGTGCAACAGTGAGTGGTGGGACACTACCTTAAACTAAAACTAAGCGCTACAATGACCGCGATCACTTTAAAGATGGCGACGTGCACTGAGTTTATATTTGAGAAGTTACAGATGAATGAAAATTACTCCATATTTCACCCGTTTTAGTAAAATTGATACCAGAATATATACATTATCGATTTGGAAAATGGATCTTTCTCTAAATACTCGAATCAAAACAGAACCGAATGCAGAGGATACATTATACCGGGAGCCGACATCCATTTGCAGGCGTAACAACGTAACCACTGATGAAGTTCACGACGACGGGTATAAAAATGGAGTATTGCGGAGTCTGTTTACGTCTCCGGAAAGTTCTTTAACAACTCCAGCAGCTAATTTGTTGACATGCCTTGCTAATGAATATCAACTGAGCCAGAACCCTTTATCGGACAGTAGAAGTCTTTTGTTGACATCAGAAAATGCCCGTGGTTGTGTTTATACATTTAATGAAGAGTGTCCTCGAGGACAAACAACACAAAGCAGCAATTACAGTTCTTCTAGTATGACCATATCAACGACAAGGATAAAAATGGAGAAAACAGAAACACCTTCCGAAGCTGACAGAATAAAGGAACAAGACAGAACGGGTCGATATTTAGGACAAAATGGCGACAATAAACTTCATGACAGTGTTATAAAGTCGATGCTAGCAGCGCCACCCATTCATTCTCCTGTACAAAACAAGATAAGTTATCACAAATCTGAAGAATTTGAACATCAGTCCATAGACTCCAACAGTGAAAAGCATGGTGCTTATAGTACACACAGAGATGGTCCTTTTAAAACGAATGATCCGACTCCAAGTCATGCGAGTGACGATGCGTTGGACTCGCCCGAGACATTTCCTCTACTTCCCCCAAAGGGTAAGACAAAGATTAAAGGACTGCTTTATATTGATTCCTCGTTGATATTCATTCTTTAGGAAAGTTTAACTCCCACAAGATGTCGAAATTCTCCATTAAGAAGCCATTTTCAATTTCCAGAAGAATGATATTAATGGTTCAGGCTTCTCAACTCAACACACTTCCAACTTTATTAATACAGAGTTATGACCCTTGATTTTATCATTGGACTGAACATTGGTTAGGGATGTAATGTTTTACATGTATGCCTCCTTTATGTTAAAACAGTCTTAATTATTACATTATCATAATACAGCACAGTATAGTCAGTAAACTTGAAAATGAAAAATCATAACTTAAAACCAATTTTTGAATGTCTATGCTGTCTCTAAAATGGAAATTGAGAAAAAACAATCTCGGCATATCTATTTTTAGTACAGATTTTTATTATGCTCACCATAGGGAGAGCATAAAGTCACTGCTTTGTCCATCTACTTGTCCGACCATCCATCAATCCATTTGTCCATCTTTAAAAACTTTGTCCAGAGCATTACACTAAAACTATACAAAGTAGCAACATGAAACTTCACAGGTAGATAGATCTCAACAAGGAGAAGTGTAATGCACAAGAACCATCTTTCTCTTTTTCATATTTAAGAAGTTATTGCCTTTGTTATTTTTCATATTTAAAATTTTGTCCCATATGGGGAGCATAACCCATCTTTGACGGCCATTGTTTTAAAAGTGAGGAAATACCTTTGTCTTGCATTGTGTAAAAGTTTTTTATTTCTCTTTACAGCTGCTAATCCACAAATGACACGTGAAGATTTTAATGCCTTCTGTCAAGCTATCCTCTTAAATGGAGGTCCTGCTAAAATAAATAATGATGATTCGTCTTCTGGTAATACAGATAACTCAAACACTGTTGATATATTCAACAAAATAAGTAGAGGACAACAGAAAGGAAAACGAAAATTCCAGTGTGACATTTGTCATAAGTCATACGGCCACAACAGCAGTCTAAAGGTGCATTACCGAGTACATACCGGGGAAAGACCTTTCAAATGCCATGTGTGTGACCGTGACTTCAGTCACTCCAACAGTCTTCAGATTCATGTCAGAACACATACAGAAAAACCTCAGTTCAAGTGTGACCATTGTCCGATGGAATTCTCTCGTTCAAATAGTTTATCTCGCCATATGCTGACACACACCAGGGAGAAGCCGTTTGTGTGTGGTGTATGTGGGAAGTCATTCTCTCAGGCATGTAATCTTAAGACCCACATGCGATCCCATACTGGTGACAAACCTTTTAAGTGTGATTTTTGTGGCAAAGCTTTCAGAGTTGCTGAAAAACTGAAAATTCATACTCGTATTCACACTGGTGATCGACCTTATCAATGCACTGTATGTCAAAAAACATTTGCTACGTCGGGTGTACTTAAATCACATTCTTCCATACACACCGGAATTAAACCCTACAAATGTAAGGTATGTGGAAAGGGGTTTACAGTGTCAAATGACTTAAAGAAACACAGCCGTGTTCACACAGGGGAGAAACCATACACCTGTAATATGTGTGGGAAAGCTTTTGGACAGTCTAGCACTCTACAGAAACATCTTCATACTCACTCTGGAAACCGACCACATAAGTGTGAAATATGTGGTAAAGGTTTTGTTGAATCGACACATGTTATAAGACATATGCGTACACATACAGGGGACAAGCCATTCACTTGCAACATTTGTCATAAAAGTTTCTCAGGAGACTTGGCAAAGCATATGAGAACTCATATTGAAGGTAAACCTTACAAGTGTGATATCTGCCTGAAAGGATTTCGAAACCCCTCTTATATGAAACAGCACAAGATGAAACATACTGCTAGCCGCCCATATCCATGTAGTTATTGCACAATGCGATTCATGCAGCCTAGTGATTTGAATGCACATGTGCGTACTCATACAGATTCCAAGCCATTTAAAGGTGAAATTGGTGGGAAAACTTTTGCACAGTCCGACCATCTTGAGAGACACATAATTTCAGACAGTGAAGGAAACAATCAGACACCTGCTAAAAGAAATGAGATGAAAGAGGAAGATTTCAGTGATGAGTCGGAGACAATCTTGGAAGAAAATGATACAAATACATAAAGAGACTGAAAAGAACTTTTATAGATACGAAGTTTTGATTGGTTAAAGTTTTCTTAGTTGCTACGTCTTCAGGTACCAGTTTATATTTAGTATATATAAATATGTTGTTGATAACAACTGATGTTTCAGTCTAAACTTTTATAAGATTTAGTGAGAATTTCATAATCTGTTGACATGTGGTTTGAAGCTTCCTGCCCGTAGTGACGTGTGTTTCTCAGGAAACAGAGAAATTAGCTGCCTGTTGCTGTTGTGACAATGTCTTTGGTCAAGACATTTTACCCAATTTGCTTTTGATGTCATGTGACAGGCCTCTAGTCTGTTGCTCTGTAGGATGGGTACCAGTTACTACAAGGTGATCCTAGCTACCTCAAAATGACCAAAGCTATTGATCAGTTGATACACCGTGCAAACAAATGAAAAGATGATTTATATAGCGTATTTATCTGACAATATACACCCTGCTTAGTAAAAATCTAACTGTGCATAAAGCTTCTTAATTTGGGTGTTCCTCCTTGTCCTTATGAAAAGTAAGTCTATGGTACTCTCAGTATATTATCTGCATTGTGACATCAGAACAAATATCATTTGGAAGGAATCTGGGCATAAAATCAATGTTTACCAAACTGCTTACATGTTGTATGCTTGTAATAGAATCTGTTATCTTTAGGTATTCAGAGTTGCCTCAAATGAGATTTTCTTATAAAATTTCAGCCTGAGATGAAGATAAAATTATCACGAGCATATACAGGTTATAGATTCTATTTCTGATACCTGATTTTGTTAAAATCAAATATAACTTTTATTGCCAATTACAAGTTGATTGGATTATCTCCCAGACTAACAATGGAATCAAACTTTTAATACAGCTGCTATATAGATATACATTTTTGTGTACTGGTACAATTACATATAAATATCAAGGAGAATATGGAAACCCATATAGATTTACATGTATATACCAACCCAGGTATGTAAAATTTAGTTTGCTGGGTTTATCACCCCATGAATAGCCACAATCGTTTTGAGGCAGGGTTTCCTTGCAGAAGCTGGTGGCTACCTCATTGAACAACATACATGAGGCATGTCTCATGCCTGCCAATGCCCAAGGACACAACCATGCCAGCACAGACAGGTCCATTTCTCAGCTTCCTGAAGGACAAATTGCTGTGGGGAGGTAGCATCAAACCACATACCTTGGATTTTTGAGTGAGGTTATGTAGACCAATTTTCGAATGGACTCGGCTATTCCTGCCCCATATATATGTAAAAAGATCAGTTTACATATATAATTTACATACTTTTTTATATATACATTTATTTATTATTTTATTGTATACTGTTTATATAATATTTTTAATACTTTTGTAATTTCATATTTTGTTAGTTTGGCCATCATCAAGTATGATGTAGGAGAGGATGCCATGCTAGACAATGTATTATATTGAGCAGCCTTCTCCATTCTGATTTTCTCTATCACAAATCAGTTTTTTTATGACATAATGTGAAAACAAACTACAGTAACTTTAGAAAAAAATATGGAAATTATGATACATTGTAGAATATTTTCACAAATTTCAGTTTCAAGTGGAAGCAGAAAAACTGCATTTTATCTTCAGTATATATGTAATTTGATTGTTGAGTAAAGAATAAGACCATATGTATTTATATATGTGTGTCCATGTCGCTTTTGATAGTCTGTCGAGTGAATGTCCTAGTACGCCAAACATAGAATAAAAACACATTTTTTTTTATAAAATCATAGGTTGTGTCATGTTAATAAAAATGATGTAGTATTACATAATTAGACATGTAATATTTTTGTGGTATAAAAAAATACAGAAATAAATGTCCAATTGAAATTAATGAAATCTGTTGATTTGAGTCTGTTCTGCGGTTCACAAGCCTCCCTTCTATGACATTTTGTTCAGTGTAGACCTACATTATGTCAACACTTTGCACTTTGCTTTAGATAACACATACAGAAAGCGTCTAAGTGTTGTACAACTCACCTGATTACTGCATCTGCACATTCACTGGCTATAGAGACGGGTAGATATAAAAATATACCTAGAGAATCAAGGATCATTGATCACACAAAGATGATGTGCAGTGTACCAAAGTTAATTGCAGAGTTATTGCCCTTTGTTAGAGTTATATATCTGAAGCATTACCTTTGCCTTCATTTAAACTAAGATGTTGAAAGGTGATGTATACCTTTGGTACATCAGTCATACAAAAGGAAGATAAAGTATAGTGCAGTAAGTCCGATGACATTTCAGTACAGAGTTATTGCCCTTTGTTTAAGTTTTGTGTCATGCACATAGCATTCCTTTCATTTAACTTGGAACATGAAACTTGGTGTATACATTTGTTATACTAAGAGAATGTGGCGTATACCAAATTCAGGGCCTGTAACCCCTTAATTACAGAATTATTGCCCTTTGGTGAAATTTTCTGTCCAATAATGTTGTTTTAGGGGAGCATTCTTCAGTTTCGCTGATACTCTTGTTATCTTTTTATAGTTTGTTGTAAATTTCAAAGCCAAGGCGTGAAATGTATGGAAATAAAGAATTATAAGGGCTTAGAAAATTTATTTTTGAAGCCAAGAAACTAAGAATCCTAAATTGTCTCTGTTAAAAGATAATCATTCTGAATACATTGCACTACATGTTTGCATGTATTGTACTTGGGGGACAATGGCCAAAAATTTTTAATCAATCTTGAAATATTGACCTTACTTCAAACATTTAAATGACCACAGTTTTTCAGAAAGCTCTTTCATTTAATAAACATGCAAAGAAAAAATCGTAATGAAATAGACACTTTCTGATTTGATCAAGAAGCTGAGTAATGAAAAACACTTTGCCATTGCTGGGGTTCAAACCAGCAACCCTTCAGTCACTAGCCAGACACTCTACCGCTCCACTTAAGTGAAATTCCCTCTATCCGAGCCTGGTAAAGCGACCTAGACTCTCAACGTCTACCCATATAAAGCCATACATTATTCTGAATGACTAGTTTGCCTGAAGTTGTTAACAAATGTCTTTAAAAGAAATTTGGTTAAAATTCAAACTTAATCAAATTCAAACAAATATCGGACGTACACCCAAATGATGCAGTTGTAAAGTTTGAGAAAGGCAATGTCAAGGTAACCAACTTTATAATGACCACTTCCAAGGTACTAGTTGGATTTGCATCCATGTTCTTTTTAATATAGTCTCCATGGAATCAACAGAAACTTGATGACCCATATCATTTATAAAACAAATATATATTATTGTTGGACAATCATGTATCTCAATGCAGTTTTTTAATGCTTAACTTTCAACTGAAATATTTTAAAAAATATTTCTGTGTGTACAAAAATGCTATTTTATGGAAAATAATTACAATGTTCATTTTTAAAATTTTAGATGTTAAAAGTATAGTTCAAACAGAGGTCGTGTGACACTGGTTTTATCGTTAATGAAATAATTCAATATCAAACCAGAACAAAGTGCTTTTATTAGCATTGAATACAAATGAAAGCAATATCGAAATAAATGTAAAGTATGGATCACTCAAACAGTCGACAGCTACCGACAGCGAAATTGAATTGATTTTAAAAGAAAATAAATCATAGTAGTTGATCGCCTCACAGAAGAAATAGATGATTTGAAATATACATTGCCTTAAAGCTAGTGCAATTTGATCAAGAAGATGGCTAACAGGCCATTCAACAATGTATCACTGATCATGGTAACAGGCCCTTCACCAATGTACATTTATCCTGGTAACAGGCCTTTCACCAATGTAACACTGATCATGGTAACGAACCCTTCACCAATGTTACACTGATCATGGTATCAAGCCCTTCACCAATGTAACTCTGATCATGATAACAGGCCCCTCTCTAATGTAACACTTATAATGGTAACCGGCCCTTCACCAATGTAACACTGATCATGGTAACAGGCCTCTCACCAATGTTAAAATGATCATGGTAACAGGCCCTTCACCAATGTAACACTGATCATGTTAACAGGCCCTTCACCAATGTAACACTGATCATGGTAACAGGCTCTTCACTAATGTAACACTGATCATGGTAACGGGCCCTTCACCAATGTAACACTGATCATGGTAACAAGCCCTTCACCAATGTAACACTGATCATGGTAACAGGCTCTTCACTAATGTAACAGTGACTGGTAACAGGCTCTTCACTAATGTAACAGTGACTATGGTAACAGGCTCTTCACTAATGTAACACTGATCATGGTAACAGACCCTTCACCAATGTAACACTGATCATGGTAACAGGCTCTTCACTAATGTAACACTGATCATGGTAACGGGCCCTTCACCAATGTAACACTGATCATGGTAACAAGCCCTTCACCAATGTAACACTAATCACGGTAACAGGCTCTTCACTAATGTAACAGTGACTGGTAACAGGCTCTTCACTAATGTAACAGTGACTATGGTAACAGGCTCTTCACTAATGTAACACTGATCATGGTAACAAGCCCTTCACCAATGTAACACTGATCATGGTAACAAGCCCTTCACCAATGTAACACTGATCATGGTAACAGGCTCTTCACTAATGTAACACTGATCATGGTAACAAGCCCTTCACCAATGTAACACTGATCATGGTAACAAGCCCTTCACCAATGTAACACTGATCATGGTAACAAGCCCTTCACCAATGTAACAGTAATCACGGTAACAGGCTCTTCACTAATGTAACAGTGACTATGGTAACAGGCTCTTCACTAATGTAACAGTGACTATGGTAACAGGCTCTTCACTAATGTAACACTGATCATGGTAACAAGCCCTTCACCAATGTAACACTAATCACGGTAACAGGCTCTTCACTAATGTAACAGTGACTATGGTAACAGGCTCTTCACTAATGTAACACTGATCATGGTAACGGGCCCTTCACCAATGTAACACTAATCATGGTAACAGGCTCTTCACTAATGTAACAGTGACTATGGTAACAGGCTCTTCACTAATGTAACAGTGACTATGGTAACAGGCTCTTCACTAATGTAACAGTGACTATGGTAACAGGCTCTTCACTAATGTAACAGTGACTATGGTAACAGGCTCTTCACTAATGTAACACTGATCATGGTAACAGGCTCTTCACTAATGTAACAGTGACTATGGTAACAGGCTCTTCACTAATGTAACACTGATCATGGTAACAGGCTCTTCACTAATGTAACACTGATCATGGTAACAGGCTCTTCACTAATGTAACAGTGACTATGGTAACAGGCTCTTCACTAATGTAACACTGATCATGGTAACAGGCTCTTCACTAATGTAACACTGATCATGGTAACGGGCCCTTCACCAATGTAACACTGATCATGGTAACAGGCCTCTCACCAATGTTAAAATGATCATGGTAACAGGCCCTTCACCAATGTAACACTGATCATGTTAACAGGCCCTTCACCAATGTAACACTGATCATGGTAACAGGCTCTTCACTAATGTAACACTGATCATGGTAACGGGCCCTTCACCAATGTAACACTGATCATGGTAACAAGCCCTTCACCAATGTAACACTGATCATGGTAACAGGCTCTTCACTAATGTAACAGTGACTGGTAACAGGCTCTTCACTAATGTAACAGTGACTATGGTAACAGGCTCTTCACTAATGTAACAGTGACTATGGTAACAGGCTCTTCACTAATGTAACACTGATCATGGTAACAGGCTCTTCACTAATGTAACACTGATCATGGTAACGGGCCCTTCACCAATGTAACACTGATCATGGTAACAGGCTCTTCACTAATGTAACACTGATCATGGTAACAGACCCTTCACCAATGTAACACTAATCACGGTAACAGGCCCCTCACACAAGTAAAGGTAACTCTTTCTAGAGACATTAAAGTATAGAATGAGTAAAGTTTATTTATACATTTGATGAAGTCGTAATCCTGATTTTATGTCAAGATGGATTTATGTAATTTTTTGTTATTACAATAGAGGACAATAGAGTATGTAATCTTTAATTAGTTTGTTAGTGTTATCATTATTAGCTTTATTCATTCAGCATGTAAAAATGCCTTATAATTGGTTTTAGTTAGTGTACACATAAATGATCCGTTCTGTTTGGATGTTATTTTGTTGAGAACAGATGGCATGACTGTGTATAAACGGGGACATGTGATGGTGGTGCCACAATCCAGTATCAGAACCAGTGTTGCCAACTACCTAATGTCTGAGTCCTCAGTAAATAGAGAGCTTGTACACCATACCAAAGCATGCAAGATAGGTAGACTAGATGTTGCACTGACCGAGATGACGTTGGGCAATGTAGTTTTTCCATCAAAACCACAGCTAAGTGTTTTACACATCAAATGTGATATTAGTGATTGAAAAGTTAGATTTGATTGATATCGTTAGCTTGACTCTCAAGTTCATTTTGTGAGGATTGAAGCCTCCTTTTCATGATTTCACCCATTTTTTTTTTAATTATTTCAGCCTCTTTTTGATATAATGGTTGGAGAGAATCCTGTGCAGGTCATCATCCCTGCAACAGCAGAGGTCAAGGAAATAAAGAGTCGTGTGATGGATACAATAGCACGGGTCGTATCTAAGGTAAGACTTGGTAACAAGTAGTAAGTCACCAGTATCACAGACTTTGTATAGCAAAGGTATCTACCACTCAGTATCACATAGACTTTGTATAGCAGTGGTATCTACCACTCAGTATCACATAGACTTTGTATAGCAGTGGTGTCTACCACTCAGTATCACATAGACTTTGTATAGCAGTGGTATCTACCACTCAGTATCACAT